TAAGGAAGCATTTCTTCACTGTGAGGGTGACAAAGCACTGGAACAGGCTGCCCAGAGAGGTTGTGGAGTCTCCTTCTTTGGAGATGTTTAAAACCCGCTTGGATGCAGCCCTGTGCCACGTGCTCTAGGTGACCCTGTGTGAGCAGGGGGGTTGGACTCGATGACCTCTGAGGTCCCTTCCAACCTTCGGCATTCTATGATTCTAACCAAAAATGCTGTGGTTTTTCTCCATGATAGAATCTGAGGAATGACTTTTTTAAATTTTCTTTTTCGGTTGGGAGTATTGATTAGAAAGTTATCCCTTAAAAATAACAAAAACCTTAACCTTATGGTTTACACGGAGTATAAAAATAACTTGGCTTGTTTTTGACTTTTATGCTTTTACCACTTGGTGAGTAGTAAGAAGCAGATGCTAGCAGCATTAAAAGTAAATAGTGTTTGTTATGTTCATTTTGAGTCTTCAAGGGCTAGTCACATATGAAGTTCCCAAACCAAAGTGATTTTGTTCTGTTCTGAAGCTGCTGCTGCCATTTCTCCTTCTTGTGCAGTTTGTTCCTCAAAAGGTAGTTGACTGCAGTGTAGGGAGCAGAGTCTTCTGTGCAGACAGTTCCTCAAAAGTCTGCTGCTTTGCACCCCTTTCTTGTTGGTGAGTTTGATTTAACATGTGAAATATAAGATGATGAGAATTTGATAAGCAAGAGTGGTATCCTTTTAATGAAGCTTTAGAAATATATTTTCAAATTTCACTTCATAAACTCTTCCAAAGGCTCTTGTTTTTGTCAGGGTAGGGTAACACTGAGTTATTTTTGAAAGTGTGGCATGGCTCTGCCTGTGCCTCATCTATATGTGGCTTGACCTCATGACCTGGTTAAATGGTAGCAAAAATCCTGCTTTTGTGCAGGGTTTCAGGAAATGCTTTCAGGAAAGCATGAAATGCTTTACATATTTTGTAGACATTATCTTTGCATGCAAAAAAATCTGTCCTCCTGATAAGGATGTTCATAACCAGCTATGGAGAAAATAGCATTCATGGCCTTGAACGTTATTGTGATACCATCCAAGTTACCTATGGCAGGAAAAAGTTGCCGAACCCTTTTGCAATAAAATGCTGAGTCTTTCAGTAGTGGCTATGAATCAAAGTAGCTACATGTGTTATACTAACCTATATCTTGTGCAAAACTGCTGTTGCAGTGGGAAAATTGCATATTTTACTTACCCAGTTGACAGCAGTGAGTAGACGTCTTTAACAGTCAGCAGTGGCAGATAGAGAAATTCTCTTGGTAAATGGAAAGCTAGCTAGCTTTCTTCTTCTTCTTCTTCTTCTTCTTCTTTTTTTCCTTTTTTTTTTTTTTTCCTTTTCCTCTCCCGTTAATTTTGAAAATAAGAGTCAAACAAACCCCAAAAGTCTTCTTGCACTAATGTCACTCTACTATAGACTTACTTTCCGGATATGAAGTGATGGCTTCAGCTCTTTTTGTTCCCTGAGTCTCTAGATAGTTAGTTCCTGGGGTGCTGTTCTATTCAAAGCTTTTCTGAACTGCAGCAACATAGCAGAGATGAAAAGTCTCATATATTCAGTCTTTGTGAAAAAGCTGTAACACATTTTCTTGCTGTTTAGAGGAATCAGCTTTGATAGCCTTTACCAATTGTTAGATTTTGGTGGGTGGGAAAGGGTTGTTTTCCTATTTCTGGCAGTGGAAAGAGTTCTTTTACCAGTATTGATCACTCTTAAAACGTGGTCTTTATATCAAGATTTTTATTCAGGATATGCTATGTACAAATAAGATTGTCTTCCAGGTCTTCTAAAACTCAACTCATTTGGGAATGGGGAGCTTTGGGCTGGTTTTAMTTTGGTTATGTTGCATCTCCTCTTTATTCCAAAGTTCAGCACAGATCTTTCAGGCTCTCTATTTTGGTGATGATAAAAGATGATAATGGCAGTTGTTGACTGTATTAAAATTAAGCATTGCACCATGTGTAATGTTAATAATGTTAATCTGGATGCTTCCTGTAGCAGAGGTGATAATAAAGAAGGTACTTTCACCTTCATTCAGTCTAAACTGTTTCACTCATAGGCAATTATGTTGCAGTCTCATCATGTTTCATGCAATAATGTAGCGGACTGTGTTTTTGCAGCTTGTAAACAAGGGACAATTACCACTTGGTTGGAGAGCACAGGGCGCCAGACAACGGAGTCCAAAAGGTAAAATGTACCTATGTGCATATACCTATTTAGAAGCTGCATTCTTTGAGAGGCCTGTGGAGAACTCAGTGTGGTTTTGCAAGGATAGCTAGCCCCTGAAAAACACACCTCTTTATCTGCTGCTTTCCTTGCCTAGGCACGTCTCTTATGGAGAACTAGTTGATAGTTTCACTATGGAAAGCTAGCTAGCCAAATTTAAAAAAAAATGCTGTCATGGCTTATTGGTTCAGCCCAATGTTTAGATGAGTTGTGGTTCTCTTGCAAGGAAAAAAAATGGGGATGTGCAGCAGTGGGAGACAAAACTGGATGGCTACTTTTGTGGGTAGACAGCCATTAGATCAGGTTAGTAGTAATGTTCTTAGTAAAGAGTTTTACTTTTGGCTTGACACAGAGAATAGTAATTTTCAGATTTTAACTGATGGTCTTGTATTGTACTTGCAATTTTCTTGTTAATTTATAGACAAAATTCCATTTTGATTCAATTCAGTAGATTATGATAGTATACGTTCATGCAACCTTAATTAATGTGAGCTAAAATCTACAAGACCCTCAACTATTCGTTCAAGTTACTTTATGAAGGGTGTTATAGAAATTTTGCTGCTGAATAGCACTGTGTTGATTTTTATGATACTTTCTGCTTATGTAGCTTGTCAGGAGCAGTGTTGGCAAGACAATTACATTTTCATGGGTTTTGTTTTAGTGCTATTCACCTCAGAGGAATATCAAGTGGTACATTTCTGTAATCCCAGTTGTAAAAGTGCCAGTTGATTTTTCAATAATGTTTCCTGATTTTGAACTTTTTTTTTTATCTCTCATTTGTAGAAAATACTTGAATAATGAGTTAAGTGACCTTGAGGGATAGTTTTGGAAAGTTTAAACAGAAAGATTTTAGATTTTAGGGATAATGAATCATTGGACTAGGTTACTAAGGTAAGCAACTGATTAATCATCCTTTGAAGACTTTAAATGGTAGTCATTACTAAAATATATTTCCTACTTTAGTAAAACTTGTTGGTCCTGATAGTACTTGCTTAACAGATTTAGTGAGGTTTCTCTTGTGTACTTACAGTATTCATTCTCTGCTTTAAAAATACATAGATATTTCATTTGGAGATAAGGCATTAAGTTCTCTTAATTCTCTCCTGCAGCTTAGAAAGCAAAATTAATAACAWTACTGAAGCAAATCCCAAGATGACTTCTATTAAGAAAGACAGCTTCTGTGAACATGATGCGAAAAAGCTAGAGAATATTTGTCAGCAAAAATTTCTAAATATATCTGTGGAAGTTGGTGCAACGCACCCAAATTTGCCTCAGGCAGGCAGCATGTATAACTGGGAGGCTGAAGGTGTGTGTAAAGACCCGGTGTTGGACTCTGAGCCTGTGAAGGGGACACAATCCGGAGACCTGTTTAGAAATGCCAACATTGATCAGGTGCATAAAACTGACAAACAGGCTCAAAGAGGCTGTGAAGAGAACAGTGACATTTGGACTCAAAAGAAGTTGTCTTCAGGACGGTCTTTGAAAACGGGAAATACAAAACTTTCTTCAAAAGACACTGAGGCAGATGCACAAGTGGCTTCCTGCAATTTACAGAAGCTGAAGAGTTGTGGTTCTGATGATGTAGTCTGCCTAGCGAGTGAACCAGAGGAAGGGGAGGTAGTTCCAGAAAGCCCCCTTTCAGATGCTGCTTGTGATGCCTGTGTATCTGATCTTGGAGGTCCTGGGAAGCTGAGCAAATGTCAGAGTAGTTCAGGGGATTCTCCTGCTTTTGAGAAGGAAAGTGAACCAGAGTCACCAATGGATGTAGATAATTCTAAAAATAGCTGTCATGGATCAGAGGCTGATGAAGAAACAAGTCCTTTTTTCGATGAGCGAGAGGAGATAAATATGTCAAAATCCATAAACCAGCCTTCCAGAATTCAGTGTGGGAATGCTGAACTGGAGGCAAGAAAGTCACGGTTTTCTACGAAGCGTTGTGAAAGCTTTGAGGGAACAGATAACTCTGCCAAAGAGGATGAGCTACATACGAAGTCTCTTGGGATCTGTCCTGTTCCACTGTCAGAATGCAAAGGTGCAAAACAGAGTGTGAAGAAAGACTCCAAAATCACCTCTCATTTCATGAGGATACCTAAAATTGAGGAGAAAAGGTTTGTTTGCTTGCTTATGTCTTCTTCTCTATTTTCTCACCTGAATATTTCACTACTCAGTGATAGCATTTTGAATGCTGGATTATACCAAGAATTTTGCAGAATATATGCTAAGAAATGAAGACAACTTCAATGTAAACTTAAAATAACCTATTTTTAATAGAACTATATTTTTAAAGGGTATGTTTTTCTAATATCATTTTTAATTCACTGGAAACATAGCTAACATTAGGAACTGCGCTCACTGTAGAAAGCAGATTTAATTTTGCAAGAGAAGTGATTTAGGACTTTTTTTTTAATACTTGAAAACAAATAGCGATACAGAAGCACTTTGCAAAGTATAGATTTATCATTTGTTACTTCCTTCAGAGTATTTGAGAAAATTAATATTTTTTTTTCTTTTGCTTTTTCTATTTTGTCACAAATGTCAAGTCAGTTTTGCTGGTACAACAGCAGTATTGATGCTTTGAGATCAGTGTGACAATTTTCCCTTTCAAAAGAAGAGATATGAGGTTTTTTTTGTTTGTTTGTTTGCTTGCTTGGTCTTCTTTCATTACTTGTGAGAAAGAGGGAATAGAGTTTAGACACATCATAGAAACAGAAACCCTAAGCAAGACCGAGAAGTCCTTATGTTAGATGTTACATAAGGATAATTTCTGCACTGAAGAGCTTGGATTTCAGAGAGCAGGGCAGGGAGAGTTGCGTTAGTTGTTGGAACATGCAGTCATCTCAGACTGATGTCTCCTTTCATGTCTTAAAGGTAGGACGAGAAAGTAGGATTTTGTTTTTCTTTTAATATGCATTTACTGGGAGTTCCTTCCAGGTGCAAGGAGCAGCACAGACCATACTGGTGAAGGAAATACAGAGAGTGACAGAGGGTGGGAAGTTTGAATTTGAAGAATCTTGAGATGAATAGACAGAGAATGGACTTGGGAATATAAGTGGTGCTTTGCAGAATGAGTGGTAAGATAAACTGTGAGGCTTCAGAGAAATGTTTTGACATTAACAAAGATGATGTGAAGGTTTTGAACTTCAGTACAAGATGAAGTAGTAGAATTGGCTATAGTGCTAAAGAAAGCAATTGGAATAAGACTTAATTTTCTGAGTTTTAGTTGGATGAGGTCTGCAGTAGGTTAAGAGTGGCTGAGATCTCGACTTAGGGAGAAGAGATCAGTGTTACATTTAACTGATTTTGATCTAGTGTCATGCTAATGCAACTACAGGCTTTGCATGTGATTACCCAGTCTTTTGCCATTAACCTTCACCTGAAAATTTTGGCATATGCACAGATGTAGCAAACAGGTTCAACAACATCTTTATTCAGAGGTGGAGTAACTTTGCTAAGGGGAGCCCAGAGATCTAAACCATACCTCAAAGTGCAGGCTTTTATCTAGTTTTGCATTTTCCTCTGAGAACTTTTCTATCTTGAATGAGAAAAATTCAGAATGTTGCATCAAGCATATAGCTAAGCCCCAGTCAAATTTGTAGAAACAGTCATAACTGCTGTGTAGGGACTCGTAGCTCTTCCAGTTAAATTGCCTGGTTGCAAGAAGAGTTTTAAATTCCAAAAAAGAATAAAGGAATAAGGGTGATGTTACATGAAATGCTAACAATGGACCACAGCACAGCTAGTGCAGTGTGACCTGCTGAATACCAGCACGTGGGCTTTTTTGAAACGTGGACCTGTTCTTTTGTATGAGAGAAAGAAGTGAAATTTGAAATGGGCTGCTGTGTCTTTTCTGTCGTATCCATAAATTTCTAAGTAGCACTTGTGTTTCCAGTGTCAGCTTAGCACACATTTGAAAAAGTTGCATCCTAACATGGTATTGTAACATAAAAGTAATCTTATCAAGAAACATAGTGAAAATTAAGAGGCATCCCTAGTATTTTATGTTATGACATCAAAGCAAAACATGAGGAAAAAAAGAAAGTACAAAGAAGCATTGTGTAGTTTATATACTTAGCTCTGTTTTTTTTCTCAAGTTTAAATCTTTAAAGGAGGAAAATTCTCATCCATGTCTCATCAGTTTCATACTGTTTGAAATGGAGATGATAAAATTTCAAACATACTTGGTTTGAAGAGGATAGGTTCATCTGTGCTTCCACATATTTGAAAGTTGCAGGTGTTTTTTGATTTGCCTTTTTTTTTTTACTTTTAACAATTTCATCTGACATGAAAAATTTAAGTGCGGAAAGCTGATCAAGCATTTAATTTTAGTTTGTAGTTAACTGAATGTTTGTGTGTGTGGCTCTGTGTGTGTTCGGTTTTTGACTACATTGAGAAAGGGCCTTAGAGAGGGTCCTGACAAATGCAGACCACTGAGTCAGACTTCTTTCCCTAGTTAGGTCTCTAGTAACGAGTAAGATCATGGATAAACAGTCTGATGTTTATTGGACTCTTCTATTGGTCAGCCTTGCTCCCCAGAGGATACCCCAGCCTTGCTAACCTGCTGCAACTCTGCCAAGGTGTTTGTGAGCATGCAGAAGAAGGAATTTTAGTGCAGATATCTGGGGGGAAGGAGGTGGATGGGGAGGGCTAATGTTAGTGATGGGTGTTTTCCCCCAAATAACCTTTGGTTTGGGGCTGCAGCAAGGCTGACACGGAAACTGGCAGAATTAACCCCAAAGCCGACGCCACCAGGTTTTTCAGTGGAAATGAAATGCTTAATTATATTTGTATTTTAACAGCAAGAAAGAAAAGTGCGATTTCAAACCTCAGAGGCCAGGAAGGAAGAATCTGAAATATGTGCCCCCTCCTCTTCCAGCTAACAAGAAGTGGTTCGGGACACCCATTGAGGAAATGAGAAGAATGCCCATGTGTGGGGCCCGTCTTCCTCACCTGCGACCCTCAGCTAATCACACAGTAACCATCAGAGTATGATTATTTAGCATATTGCTTTAAAACAAAAAAAATCTTACTGAATTGCTATTCAATAATAAGAAACTAATGGAGTCCTGCTGTGAGTTAGTTTTGCTACATTAGCAGGTTGTGGAAATCTTTCCTTGCAACTCCTTGCTATCAACTTGGGACAAGTGACTTTCCTGAGAGCTGACTTGTCTTCCRGTACACAGAATCAGGATATTAAGATCCAGAAGAAATATAGTCACAATTTTTACTGCCTCTGGTTTATTAGGGAGAATTATTTTTTATTTTGCACAGGTGTATGCATGCTTCTTGGTCTGGTTTGTAAGCTTTGGGATTTGAAATAAGTCTGCAAGTAAAATTTTTACTTAAACATGTTATGTTTTTAGTATATCTCTATTTTGGATTCAAGATGGAAAGTAGGTTCAAGATAAAGAGAGACTATGAATGAATAGGAGTTGGTAGCAATTTTGCACTGAGTTTTAGGTCAAATCTGACATATAGATCTTTATTCCTTTCAAGTAACGTGAAGTTGAATGTGCTTGAAGTTATTTGAACAGAAACCTGCAGGACAGAAATTGCTGGACAAATCCCAAACAAAAGCAAAGCGCATTACGTTTAAACAAAATAAATTTTAATAAAGCTTAAACAAAAGTTCAAACAAGCAAATGCAAATATTAAGGAAACTAGTGCTGCCAGAAAGCCATGTAGCAGGTTAGATCTTTAAGAACATTGCATTATTTATTTCTACATATTTCTACTCATATTCTGTGGAGTAAGATTGAACTGTTGCTCTRTCTGTAATGACTTATGCTGTTTATTATTAGCTTAAAGGATGTTATTTTTGTGCTTGGCTATGGTTCTTCTTCAGACTATATTTTGACTACTTTGGTTAAAGCATTTTGATTAAGTAGCTACTTAAGCTTATAAATAAGGATATCTGTAGCTGGTAATTAGACATTAAGCTTGCATGTGTCGCTTTTATTTTGGTGCAGATTAGGAGATCAAATGTTAAGGTGTTCTTTTTATCAAGTTTTAGCACTTGAGGGGGTCTTTACAATTATGTAGATTCTTAACCTCCTGTCTGAAGCCATGGCATTCCTATTGGTAGCCTCAAAGAATATTCATTTTTGTCTTTAACTTGTGGCACATGTTATTCAGGGCTTAGAAATGGAAAAATACATCATGTAGTTTTTGTTGTTCTCATTTTCCCTCTTCCTGAAGGAGGTGACTGTAGATGAAAGCTTTTCATTTCATTATGCTTTTTCTTTGCTCCATATAAAATTTCAAAATGAAGCTTGAGATTTTTTTTTATCTTCTCCCTCCCCTCGATTTTAGGTAGACCTTTTGAGGGAAGGAGAGGTCCCAAAACCTTTTCCGACTCACTACAAAGACTTGTGGGACAACAAACATGTCAAAATGCCCTGCTCGGAACAAAATTTATACCCTGTAGAGGATGAGGTAAGATAAAAGTACTTACAGTTGTGCAATAAAATATGTGCTTTTTATTCTCTATACGTATTTATTCAGTATTCGAACTATATATTCTAACTTGTATGCATATATAGAATAAATATGTATGTACATACGTACACAAGTTTTATATAAGTTTTTRGTTTTCTGGTGTTTTCATGCTCAGTGGGCAAATTGTGTGTTTGGAACTGGGAGATTTGGTAGACGGACATATTTGGTCTGAAAAGCTGGATTCTGGGACATGCATGATGCTTCAGATAGAGTTTTTTATTTCTTCTAGTAGTTATTTTATCTAGTGTTTTTTTTTCTGGTTATAGAGGACAGAGGGAGTCTTTTATYGATAAAGCAATTTGGGATGGCCACAAATATGAATGAAATTGCAACCGAATTCTGACTTTAATATTCTGTCATTGCTCACTGATTTGAAATATATCTGACATTGCTGTTTGGCTAAAATGATGACAGGAGGGTTAAAGTGGAGACCTTGCATGGTTTGATCAGGTGTTTCTGGTCATGACTGAAGACATATTTAAGCACCTGATGAAACATGGCATAGGGTGCTGGCTAAAGTGAGCAAGTGGTCTGTGGTGAAAGCTGTGCTATTGATACTTGAAGCTGCAATGGAGATTTTTATAACCTCTGGGTGAACTACAGTCTGTCTTCTTCATTTATTGACTTCACAAATGCAGTGCAAGATGAATTGAATTGATCTTTCGGTGATAAAGGGTTGATGTTTCTTTGTTGCCAGTTGAACAAGATGAGTTGTATCTGGCCAGCTGGAGTCTTGTAGTTATCATGTAAATATCAGGCACAAAACTGCCTCTTCAGAAAAAATAATAGAGGGTGTTATATATAAATTGGGTTGGTGGGTGAGCCATAGCAGTCTGCTTTTGTAATCTGTGTCCTTAATTTCTTAATTTTATGTTTTTATCAAGTTCAGTTTATATTTTGAGTTGTGGATTTTATAAATTGAGGTGATGTGTTATGTGAAAATTATTCATTTGGCCTGAGAAATAGTGCTGCATGTGTGAAAAAGAAGACTTTAAKTAAAAAGGAACTCTTTTGGAAAGTAAAATGCAGTGGCCTGAAAGCTGCGACAGATGCTTTATAATTACTCAAAATCTGTTGATTATTTTTAAATAACCTTGCATAAAAAATGACTCTTCTAAAGTTTTGTAGCAAGGAAGCAATTAGCACTAAATGTGCATTTCCATTTTTTTAAATGCTTTCATCTGACTTTTGTTGGTGGTTTTGTTTTAAAGAATGGGGATAGAACTGCTGGAAGTCGATGGGAGCTAATTCAAACTGCCTTACTTAATAAATTTACCTGCTCACATGATTTGAAGGTAAGTTTTTCAGTTTGAAATCAAGTGTATATAAATATATAGATTAGAAATACTCCCATTTTTTCATGTGGTGATGTCAATGAGCTTGTTTGATCACTTTAAAGTTTGTGGTGTTCAGGAAGTCTCCTAATGAATTCCCCAAATTCACTGCGCAAGGAAGATGGGGAACGTCTGTTTTTCTCCCAGGAATCACTTCTGGTTATGGTGGTATCTCTGAAGGATATTACAGTTTCAAGGGACTTACATTTGTGAAGAGCTGATACAATGCCATTATTAATACAACAGCTGCTGAACAGCATTAGTGGGTCTTGTGCTTATTTTTTTTTAAGCTGTGTTTYTTAAAACTAAATTTAAAAAGAAATACTGTCACTCTTTTGTGGAACCTGTATGTGGAATCTCTCTCTTTTAACTTAAGGATTGAACTTAAGGATTGAAGTATTATGTTTATTTTTTTAACCTATTGTCCTTCCGTCTTYTAATTAGTCTCTTTGGAGTAGCTTCATAGGCAGATAGTAATGTTTGAGGAATGACTGCTCCAATTTCTAGTTCTACATTCCACACAGTAGTAGCAAAACAAATGATAGTTAAGAATAATTTGAATTGGAAATCATTCCTTGACAGCCTCAGCTGTCTGTCTTTTGTAAGTGGCCAGAATGTCACAAAAACAGAATGGTTCTTGATAGATTGTCACATTTATTCAGTGAAAAGAGACTAGTATTAATGCATTTACTGAGAGAACTATGTTTTAGTTTACTTGCTTTTGATGTATTTTGATGTATTTTCTCATTATCAGCCTTATACTAGTTAGAAGCACGTGTTCAAAACGTTTGCAGACATTGATGTCTACATTAAAAAGCTAAAGTTCAGACTTTAAATGTTGCCACTGAATTTCCTTGCTATCATTAAAATAAACTAGACTTGATAAGTCTGTATGAAATTGTTTGTCCAGCAGGAGCAGCATGGACCCTTTTCTGTTTTTAAGAGAAAAAGAAAATAAATCTATATATATATATATATATATATATATATATATATATATATAATGTGGAATTCTTTAAGCTGGTTCCTATTGTGGGGGGGCCAGTTAATTTTGTTTTGGTTCTAGTTCTTTAGATTCTTAAACTGATAAAACCTTTGACATATTGCAGAGACACACTAGGTGGAAAAAAATGTAGACTAGGATGAAAAAACTTTTCCACCAGTGAGCTTAAAATACAGGATTTATTAACATGAGTGTGCCATGTTGTTATAGTTGCATGTATTTTGGTAGGTTCTGTGACAGATTGTAGCCACTAGATGGTACTATCCTTTCAAAAAGGAAACTTCATAAAATAATTTTCTGTGTCTTAAAGCTTTATTTTGCTGTGTTCTTTCCTTAGGAGGCTATACTGAGATACAATATTGCTTATGCCAAGAAATGGGACTTCACGGCTCTTACTGACTTCTGTGATAAGGTAAACCAAGTTGATTTGAAGTAGGAAAAAAGGTAAAATCTAAAGAATTGTACTTTGTATAACTTGAATTGCTTTTGGCTTCATTTCCTCTTTTGGGGTGATATTCTGCCTACTGCAAAACTGTAAATCTAAAAATCTAAATCTGAAAGAACTAAAAATCTGTATAAGTAATTATTGGGCTGATAACTTTAAAGATTAGTTTCACTTTAAATCTTATGCGACTAGTTTGAGTGTTTCGGTAACGGCTAAGCTTGCTGAAGGTAAGATATTAAGCTACATTTCCAGTGTGTTTGTTTTTGTGTTTTGGAAAATGTTGCTCTTAGACAAAAACTTTAATGTTACATTGCAGTGGTTTTTTTTTTGTATCGACTGTGCTTTGCTTGTCTAGTAGTAAAATCTTGCTATATGCCAAAATGATGCAAGTCTTTCAATRAGGGTCAAGAGGCCCCTAGGAATGATGACTGATTTGTGAGATTGTCTGATGAGGGARTTAGAATATGATGAAAGGTGCAGAACTATATTTGAAAATATATATTGTATGATTAAGGGATATGTGAACTTTTTATTTTGTAAATTAGTCAGGCATCTGCTTTCGGAAGAGGCTTTGCACAACATATTTGTGCTCCGCTTAAGTGAGCATCTATTAAGCAAAAGGTTCAGATTCTCTGTGGAAATGACCTACATATACTTGCTGTAGCAGAATGTGGCTTTTGAAGTTACTGTGTTTGGGAGCAAATAATTATGGATTTACCACTGGCGTATTTTTTTTTCCCCCCTTGTTTGTCTTCTGTTTTATAGAGGAGCAGGGGAAGCATTTTGGGTGATTCTTTGCTCAACAAAAATGGAGGAGATTTTGTGATAGAAATTGGCTTGAGTAATTGGCCCAAAGGGAGGAGAAGCGAAGTAGAGGGCTACATTTCAGAAACAGTGACAAATTTATTTTTTTACATGTCCTTTTAACAAACAGASCATCAGATCTTGCATCCTGTTCACTTATCGTATACTCTTAACCAGAAATTCTGTGGTCTGTTTTGGTAAGGAGTTTGGTGGTCTGCATATCTAATGGTGTCTGTTTTGGTGATTAATTGGAGGATATTTTATTTGGGTGCTACTTTGATAAGGTGTGTGTTTTGTTAGATTATATTTTATGATTCTGCACACAACTGACCCCATCTATTGCTAAATGCATTCATTTCAATGCATTTCTCTTGAGTTGTTTCCCATTTTAGGTAGTTTACAATCCTACTTTTAAAATTCAAACATTTTTTTCTTGTAGTAACAGTAGTTTACAAATTCAGAGTTTTTCCTTCAGTTTATTTTCCTAACTAAAAGAAAGCAAATGTCACGTAATATGTGACCCAGGGCTTCTGCTGCATAGGTCACTTGTTTCACGGGTCTGTTACTGTCACGTATATGTTCAGTGAGTGCTGCCAAGTGGGTGGCATGAGGAAGGCAAGATCTAAARTGACTTTCATATGAGGCTGATGTCGTGCAAATCAATCATTTGCATCTTTGTAATTCTGTGCTGGGTACAAACACTTAGTTTTGAAGATGCCAAATTTGCTCAAGTAATTAGTAAAGTCGTGGTTTAAACTATTTGAATGGACTTTTCTTGTCTTGCTGAAATTYGTTCAATAGCAAGATTGGGTTGTGGTGCAATTGTCCAAAAAGCCTGGTCATGTTGTGTAGTTTGTATTCATGTCTTCCCGTGGCTCCCTAAGCTCATGTATGATCATACTTACTGAGTTTTCTCATTGTATTGTTGTTGCAACTAGCTAGGGTGGTTGATGTATTCTGTGTCTGAATAATAATTCAAGATTTGAGAATAAGGTGCCAGCCAGGCCTGAGCTTCTGTATCAGTCTTTCATTGGAGAGCAAGGCTGCAGCATGCTGGAAATGCTTAAAAACCTCAGAGCTGAGTCTTGGGATCAAAAGAAATATGTCTTGGGTTATAATTTGGAGTTCATTGAAACACCTCTTTTTTTCAGCTGTGTTGTCTTACACTGTTGCCTCTGGCTCTGCAAGAATGATCTCTGGGTTTTAAATAAAGCAAAAAAAAGAGCTACTGGTGAATCTGCTCTGGTTCATTTGACTAACAGCTGGACTTCAAGAATACTCGATACCTTTAATCAAATTACACCAAAATGCTTAGCCATTAATACTTAAGCTGAAGTTTAACATCTGGCAGCAATACCACCTATTCTAATTTAAATACTTGCTAGCTGTTCTCCTCAGTGCATACAACTTGTTCCCACCCTGGCTTGCCCTAGTGCTGTGCTGGGGAGTGGGGGTTATTTGCTAGATTTGTCCCCATGTTGTGGCTGACTCTTAACTGCACACAGCTGTTTTGAAGCATGTGCTAACAGGAGCCTGGGGGAGGTGTGGCCTGGTAGTGGTAAGCATGGAATTTAGTCAGGTGGATCAGTTTTTCTTGGAGATTGCACTGTGTATCCTGTACTGGTAAATGTAATATATGGTGGCCTCTGGGAAAACAATATGTCACAGGAGCTGCACACTGGCACTTGAGAAATCTTGGATTTTATTGCCCTGGACTGTAAACTTGCAAAGCTGCTGTTTTCCAGGGTGTGCATGTGTGAAGACAGTGTCTCTTMTTGTGATTTTCTAGGCTATAGGTACCCACGTGATAATTTCCCTCAAAGCAAGCATCAGTGGAGGGGGACATATTGTATTCTAGGACTGTAAAAGTCCTTACTGTGGAAGCTAGAAATGATGCCAAATTGCTTCTGCGTTCCTGTGTTAATAGTATGGGACTGCCTAGACTGTTGTTTGTTTCTTAACTTCTTGCAGTATTGAGGTATAGAAAAAAAGAAACAGATACTAAAAAAATGGAACTAGAATGTAGCTGCGTTCCCAATAGCCTTCCAGGTGAGACACTAYAATTAAGGTCCTGAACCAAAATTTGGAGATTATAGATGAGTGGAGTCTTTAACCATAGATGTCTAATAAAGTTTTGGATCTCTTACTACCTTTATCGAGGAATTAACTTTATTATTATATGTATGCAGCTTTGTGATGTGAATGCTGGTGTTGGAACTTTTTAGAATGCAAATTTTACAATCAATRAACTGGAGTCAAATGTTCTGGTTCCCTTGCCAGATTAATGTACTACTGTGTACTTAGGAAATGGTACAAGTTCATCTGAACTGAAATTCTCATGGACAAAAATGCAATATGTTTGTGATTGATTCATGATCCCTTCCAGCTAATCAGGGTAGAAGTTATTGACTGGCTGTAAAATGTTAGGTGTAAAGTTTGTCTTCTTTAATTAMCTCTGAAGTTAGAATAGTTTAAGTTTAAATGCAATTTCAGATCTTCTTTACACCACTAAAAGAATAAATGATTCATGTTACTCAACTTGCTTCATTGTCATATTTCTATTTTATCACATTGAGTGATTTACTACATTTATCAAATGTTAGCRTTGTGATAACTCCATTATTATACGTAATAATGTATAAAGTCATATCTTTTATTTGACAAGGAAGGTAATTACTCCCTTTTTTTTTTCCTGTATAGTGAAAATATACTTCTGATGCCACTGTTATGGCTTTTAAAACCTTTCCTTCATGTTATAGAAACTCCCTGACAATGGAGCTGCCAGAATTTTAGAATTTTGTCAGTGCTAAAGTATGGGAAGCTGAATAAAACTTTGAAAGCTAGTTCCAAATCTCTGTTCTACTGACGTGCTTTGTCAAAGAACACCTGTACATCTCTGTCTTTAATGGGCTGCTGTGCCAAAGGACCTCTTGACCTCTTTCTGCAAATAACTTCTAAAAACTTCTCTCCTTTCCAGGAAGTGTGTGTGTGTGTTTTCAAAGCAGCATTTCCTGAGGAATGCATGCTTATTGCAGGTACTTTTTGTACTTCTTTTTTCTTTGTGTTGTCACAAGAGGGAGCCCTCTATTTCCAAAAAAAAAAGAAAAAAAAAAATCCCTGGGTTGCCAATTAATGCATGAAAGTAAAAATTCTTTTTTTGTACTGGAAAGTAAATGTGGGAACTTGTTTTATATTTTTTGTGTATTGAAAACTTCATAGCACAGGTCAGTGATGTATGTAAATGGGATTGGGCAAGGCTAATGTCTTAAACTACTCTCCAATGACAGCAAGCTAGCTTAGAGGGAAGAGAATGACTTTATCATTTAACACTGTCTGCTGTCTTAAATAAGGACTGACAGTTTTGGACATACTTTGTTTTCATTGCATTGCTTTTAAGTCTGTCTAGAGTTTAGGCATAATTCTCTCTTGCCGATGCTGTTTCAAGAACTCTTCTTACTGCCCTGCTCTTTCACAGACAGGGTTTAAATCTATAAAAGGCATTGTATAAGCAATGCAGACTTTCTTCAGAGGTGATTCTGCTTTTTACTTCCATTATAGCTGCACAGTATACAAGGAAAACTTAAATGAGCAGGATTTGCATTGTGAATCCTCAGTGACTTTGATATTTAATGATGACTGAGTCACCATTAAAACTGGAACTCTTCTGTGATAAACCAGTCTGTGAGCTGCCTCGCAGTTTGTTTTTGTTCTTTGCAAAGAGCTGTAGAGCTGTATAAAACTAAGTTATTTGGTTCCATATGAAACATGGGAATTTTATCAACAATGCTCAAATTAATAGCAAGACCGTGGGGAAGAAAAGCTGTAAAGGGATGAAAAAAGACATCGTGAGATAATAAAGCAACAGTGGAGCTTTCATTGTCCATGARGCTTAGTTTTGGGCTGCTTTAAAACCATAGTTGTCATCCTTCTGACTTCTGTAGTATTTCATCTTCCTTCTAATGTCAGAAAACAAAAAAATATACTGTTAAGTTACTGGYTTTTATTTGCAGATTATCAAAGTTACAGGGTTTTCTAATGTACTTCAGTAAGAGGGAAACATAGGATTTAGGGTTTTTTTTTTTTTGTTTGCTTTTTGCTTTGTTTTTAGCCACTCTCATTACTGTGTGTGTATATATAAAAAGCAGAGAGAGAAAGAGAGAGAT